CTCGTACACCATATTGCACAGTATAGGGAAGGTGATATACATTATACATCCCACACCCACACCCACACTTACCCCCCCCCCCCCCCTTTTTCATAACCCCCATCTATACCATACCTAAACCTACCTACCCCTACCTACCTAGCACGACATCCACCCCGCCGCCTTCAAGGGTATAAGTTCTTACTAGCTTACAGCATACAGCATACAGAGAAGAGCGGAATGTAAAGACTTGAACCGGGTACTCGGGTTATTGTCTATATCCTGGGGCCATTAGCGGAGCGGGGCGGGGTGGGTTGAGGGAGGGGGGGATCATCGTTTTCAATCCACTGCTTCGATCGCTACACGTCCGCAGACGGAGAAACGCCTTTGTGAACCCTCACTGGACGACAGGACGGAGCAGGAGAGGATGAGGTAGCTGACGAGGCTGGCAACAGAAAAAAAAGGAGAACTTCAGCCTCATCACGTGGATTGCCAACCTTGCCAGCCACGTCCCACATACTCACATAACTCTACATGCATACATACGACCACTCCCTCTCCAACGACGGGAAGTGATTGACGGGCTGACATTCTGGCAATACTGGGCTGGTTGATAAGTCCCTACCACACTCACTCTTGGGAAAACAAAAGGTGGAAGAGTCCCCTGTCAATATTGAGATACTCCTTGAAAAGAGGTTTATCTGGTGGATGTGTGTATGTACATTGGGATTGGCGTGGCAACTTGGAAGGTTCTGCGAAGCTGTCGCTTTCACGACCAAGAGTTCTCTCTCGGCAATGAGAAACTCCTGGCGTGATCGGCGACCATCGCTAAGCGAGCCATCTTCGAGGGGCAGTTGAAGTCAATGGCAAAGCACGCGTCACTACATAAACTTCTCAAAAGTAAATGCATGCTGAAATGGGTGGCCATGTGGTGGCGAAACCATCCTTCTCGACGACGCGGTAGGCATTTTGGCTGCAGCAGCCTGCTGATAGAACTCGACCTTCGACGACAAATGTCATAATATCGGCACGACCAACTGACTGTACGATTATTTCACTGGCCACTTGCCTTTGTGAACAGTGCGATCGTCATGTTTTCCCGTACTTCAGCCTAGGGACAATGTAGCCGAGATAGTACCTCGTACACAAGCCCTTGTAATCTATTCTCGAATTTGTTATTGTCCTCATTGTGGATGACGGACCAACATCTCAAAACTTGGTTTGGGACGACGCAGGAGCACTGGGCTCCACTTGTCTCATACCTAGTCCTGGCAAGATTGATTGCTCGGAGAGGGTACATGCGGCATCTTGAGATTCTGTCTCATTGTCGATGATACGCTCGTGCTCGAAACGCGGCTTCTCCATATACAATCCTAGGCATATTCGCTCGAGGTCAGCAGCAAGAGAGCTCGCGAGTCCCTTTGCTCCCCCAAGAACAGTGCGGATTTTGGGCTCTTGCAAACTGTGGAGAATTCTGAAAAGAACCGCTTTTGCCAGCGTATCCGAGGAATTTGGATCCAGATGTTCGATTTCTTTTCGATCAGAAGTCCAACATGTCCCAGCCTGTCAATCAAGCCGGCCTCCGCTTCACAAACTCTTCCAGATCACTCCTGGTGACGACTCCCAGCACGAACTTTCTACCCCCATCAGTCACAACCGCAAAATCTTGTTTGGCACCTGTCGCCAGCGGCCCGATATCCTCGAAAAATCCTTCGAGTTCCCATAACTCGGTCTCCATTGTGACAACTTGATATTTCTTTCCGCCTCCTCGCTGGAATTTCACCATGGCTTTTGAAACTGGGTCAGAAGGCTGCAGGTGTCCCGACTCGAAGAGTTGCTTCAGCTTAGAAATTGGCAGGTAACCCAGAAGGGAGCGAGTATTGTCGGAGAGGACGGTCAAGTGCGAGTAGTCATGGGACGAAGCCGAGAGCATGGCGGAGGCAAGTGACGTGCTTGGAGACGTCGACAGTGCAGGGGGCAGGTCCAGGTCTGCTACAGTAGCGCCTCGATATTTATCTGCCCAACTAGACAATCTTGCAGCCCGTTCATCTTCTTCAGGAGGAAGTCCGTTGGGCTGAGGGACGATTGTCGGGCCCAGAGGCACGCCCTGCTCGAGATGGGATTGAGAATGTTCCATGGCTTGCGTCCGTGTCAGATCAGAGCAAAGTATTCGTCCTGGTCATGGATCTGAAGGTGTTATCTTGTCATACTAAAAGGGCGAGACATGGGTGCCGGCTGCAATGGAGGACCGACAAGAGTTTCTTCTTAATTTTAAGATTGATCTCGTGATATTTGCGGCTGAAGGCTTCTGTGAGGAGCCGTAGTCGTGACGTACTGGTTTGGGAGAGCAGGAGCAGCCACCCAAGCCATCTTCCCCAGGCCCGAGGGACAGGCCCCATCATTACATTACTTACCTGGACAGAACTGCCAATCATAGAGCTGCGGTGATAGCAACACTGACGTCCAGCTTGTAACCCCCAGTCCCCCTCGCTCCCACATGCAGTTGGTCGCTTCCTTGAACCAACTTGCTCCTTCACCTCTCGACTTTTTTAATCGTCACTCGTCGTTCATTTCCACAGTACCGCCATCCATCTGCCGCAGTCTATTCATCCATCAAGACTCGAGGTATTTCCCCCTCTTACGCACCGTCCCTCTGCCTTCACACAACAACAAGCTCGTTTACTTAGCTTTGCTCAATTGGAAACCCCGGAGATAAGCTGATCAAGATACTCAGTACAGCACCATGGTCGGGCTCTTCCCCAACACGACGGCCTTGTCCCAGGCATTCACACCTACCTCTCCGTATTACAAGCCCGCTCCGAAACCAATTGAGAACCCCGAAAAGCGTCGAATCTTCTCCTCATGGAGTGCGGCCGAATCCGCCAAAGACAAGGCGGTTGAACTGAGCGAAGCTGCTCAAAAAGAATATGAGAAGGCCAGCGCAAAGGCCCAAGCCAAAGTTGGGGGCATTGAGCTCTATTCCGCAAAGTACTATGCCGCTTGTACCGCTGGAGGTATCCTGGCATGCGTATGTCGATGGCTTTGCTCCTGCACCGTGCTGTCGGAGTTAACGCGCAACACAGGGTATCACTCACGCAGCCGTCACCCCTCTCGATCTCGTCAAATGTCGTCGCCAGGTCGATCCCAAACTGTACAAGGGCAACTTTCAGGCCTGGGGTACCATCGCCAGGACTGAGGGTTTCCGGGGCATCTTCACAGGTTTCGGCCCGACTTTTTTTGGGTACTCGGTGCAAGGCGCTGGCAAATATGGCTTCTACGAATACTTCAAGCATTTGTACAGCGAACTGGCCGGTGAGGAGAATGCTCAAAAGTATAAGACCACACTCTACTTGACTGCCTCCGCTTCGGCCGAGTTCATTGCCGACATTGGTCTCTGCCCTTTCGAAGCCGTCAAGGTCCGTATGCAGACCACCATACCACCTGCATACTCCGGTACCCTCAATGGACTGTCGACAATCACAGGTAAAGAAGGAATTGGCGGGTAGGTCCGAATCTGCCGAGTTCGGCGCCTGGTGTATGCTGACAGCTTTCAGTTTGTACAAGGGTCTCTATCCTCTATGGGGCCGACAGATTCCGTATACCATGATGAAGTTTGCCTCGTTCGAAAACATCGTTGCCGCCATCTACAATTACCTGCCCGGCAGCAAGTCCGACTACGGCAAGGGCGCTCAGACAGGAGTGGCTTTCGTCGGTGGTTATCTCGCTGGTATCCTCTGTGCGATCGTCTCGCATCCTGCGGACGTGATGGTCAGCAAACTCAACGCAGAACGTGCCCCGGGTGAAAGCTTTGGAGGTGCCATGGGCCGCATCTATTCCAAGATCGGCTTCTCGGGTCTCTGGAACGGTCTTCCTGTCAGAATTGTAAGTTTAGAGCACCGCACAGTCGAGAAGAATACGCTTTGCTAATACTCTCAAACCCTTCTAGGTCATGATCGGAACCCTAACTGGCTTGCAATGGATGATCTACGACTCCTTCAAGATCTTCATGGGCCTCCCTACAACTGGAGGTGCTCCGGAGAAGAAGCAGACTGCTTAGATGTAGAACGTATAGGCACAGTCAACGGGGACGAGAGAATGATGGGAAGAGAATTAATTTGCCAGGGCTGGGCGGCCATTAAACGAATTACTGTACATGACACCGGGCACTGGCTGCCAGAAGGAGGGATTTGATAGCTCAACTCCTGTATGAGTTTTAGGACAATCAGGCGATGATTAAAGATGTGACAAGCCTTACGAGGTACAGAACCGTGGCCCCAAGCTCCGTTCTCCGTTCTCCGGACTCGGTACTGCTGGGTGGGCATGCATCTTCGCTTGGTCCGACTAGTATACAAGTGCGAGGCATGAATGGGCGAACGGGGGGTCGGGATTGGCCATTGATAGCACAAGGCTGGGCATGCCATGTTAGCGAATCTTGGCCAACGTCAAAAGAAAACTTGGTGTTTGGTCCCAATTTCAGCCGTCAATCACTGGACGTCATGTTGAGCAAACCGACCGTGGGCGGCTGCTGGGGGCGCTCCGGGCGCTGGGCGAAAGTCACACCATTAATTTGCTGCGCCTGGTGGCGCCCGCAATTGCAGTTTGTCAGTTGCAATTGTCATGGCATTTCTTGGTCTGCTCGGATAGCACCGAGTTATCCTCTGCCCATTATCAGCACCTCACCGACTCATAGTTGGTCATCTTCTGCCTTCCTTCCCTTCAAATATCCCACGCGAACCAGCCTCAGCCCTTCCCAACTTCCACAACCCGATCAACATAAGCTACCCAATTTCCAACTCTGAAAGACATCGATATTACTGCGGTGAGTGACTCACCTTCACCTTTCACGCAAGCTTCGCTTTGGGCTTGTGGGGCCGTCTTCCTGGCCCCGTCTTCGTTGTCACCCGAGTTCGAATCACGAACAACGCGCACCCACAACGTGCGCAGGGCCGAGAACTGGAACCCTTTGGCTGACTTGTACCTCGTACTCCGCACAGATCCCGAACCACCCCGTACATAAAAATATGACCAACGTCGTCTCTCACGGTCGTGGAGGTAGGTCGAGCATGCCTCCAAGCACATCCCAGCGTCCTAACTTTCAGAATTTAGGTGCCGCCAACATTGGCCCCGATGATCAGACCTACGTCGATGGAGGGATAGTGCGTGAGGGCCCTGTTGGTGACCAGGGCGACGGACCGTACTCAGCAGGTCGCGGTGGTGTCGGAAACATCGAGCATGATACGAAGCCAGTGGCGGGCCCGCCGCACGATGCAGATGTGATTCCCGAAACTGCCACCCGCGTTGCGAAACTAGAATCTCATCACGTCGGACGAGGCGGCGCAGGAAATGAAGAGCATGTGCACGAGAAGAAGCACGAAAGCTTTATTGACAAGATCAAAGCGTTCTTTGGCTCTTCATCGGTCAAGAAGTAAGAATGACATGACTGGAGGAGACGAGTTTCGAGAAGCTGAAGCGATTGATGATACCCTAATAATACCGTGGCTTCTCCGGGCGTTGTCAATCTAGGTAGAAAGCAAGCTTTGGGCGTAGGCACAGGCAGAGAATCCTAGACAGAGAGACTTAACAGGCAGAGACTTGACAGGGGTGTAGCAGAAGTGCTAATTTCTCTGTAAATGCATTCCTCTTTGAAATCAGTCACATGGGTCATCCCCCGTGCTTGGGTGGCAACCACCGTGTCCCTTATTTTCCCCCAAACGGCTGGGCCGTCAAGCAAGGGTGGTTGGGTCAAGTGGACAATAGGACAGGCTGGAAATCTTGCTGTAACCCAACAAAGCATTCTTGAGCTCCAACTGGTTGACATACAGTGACATGCAATATGCAGCAAGTGAGGGGGTGCCTTCTGCCACTGACTTTTGCATTGGCAAGAGTGGTTGGCTAGAGATCAGGCTGGGGCCTTCCGGGCTGGACAACTCAGGTGGAGGTGCATTAGGCGACCGCCCTCTGTGGTCAACCAACTCGACCTCTCATCATCTCGTCACGTCCATTATTACCTCGCACCTCTCGCAATAATAACTTGTTGGGTGCCTGTCCAACCTCTTTTTGATTGTCTCACGATTACTTGGTATTTAGTTCAAAGTGTCAGTGGCTTCTCGCGGCTGCTGCTGCTCACACCGCAACCGCCGTATTTACATTGACCTCTGCCTGCAACCGCCCTCAAGCAACTAAACCTGTTGTCAGGCTGGCTCTGTGAATTGCCCATCTCTTGTTCGATCGATCGATCATTCTTGAATCCTCCCATCATCCGAAAGCCTCTGGCTGCCACAAGACTTGGGCTTGACACGTTCCCCGACGCACGCGTTCGAGTTCCCGATACACCAGCCTTCTTTTTGGGGAGGGGGGATTTTTTTTCCCCTTCTTCAATGGACTCTTCTAGCGACCCGGACTTTGGCGAAACATATCATTCAACCGAGAGCTACGGAGAGGAGAGCATCGAGGGCAGCGAAAGTCCCGAAACCGAGCACCGCCAGGTGTCGCGCCAGGTAATTGGGCGCAAGCGGCGGTCAAGCGAAATGGAGACGGAAATGGAGGACGATTCAAGCGCAGTGGCAGATTCTCCTCAAAATCACGAGACAAATCAGATACCCGGAGTTGCGAGGACGATCGAAAGCGAGGGCGTCACATTCAAGGTAAAAGCCGGAGTAACCAGGTCGCAGTTGAGCAACACGAGGGACAAAGACATCATCTACTTGACGGATTGCCCTCTAGAACGGACTGACCTCACCGTTGGCTATACCGTGGAACCAGGCAGTAAGTGGGAGTCTGCAAAGAGGTATCACACTGCTCAGTGTAAGTTTTGTCCAACAAGTCCAACATCCCATGTCCTGTTCTGATACGAGTCCTCACGCATACAGTCCAAGGCCGGGACCTACGCTATCATGTAGGTCAATATGTCTACATCAATAACAAGGAGATTGTACCCGCTCCACTGCATGCGGACGCAACAGAAGACGAAAAATTAGCATATGACAAGAAGAATTGCTGGGTTGGGCTGCTAGCTGAATTCAAAGCCGTGGATGGAGAGGAGGTATTCGCCCGGGTGTACTGGCTCTATTGGCCGGATGAATTGCCTATGGGTCGACAACCATACCACGGTAGAAGAGAACTGGTGTTCAGCAATCACGTTGAAATCATCGAAGCGCAGAGCCTGGTTTCACTCGCGGATGTCAGTCATTGGGATGAGACGGATGACTCAAATAAAAATATGCTTGGGGAGAGATACTGGCGCCAAATACTTGACGTCACTAAATTGGGGACGCAGCCCCATCGTTCCCTCCGTTCCCTCAGTCAGCTCCGGAAGTTCTGCATCTGCAAAGGCTACGACAACCCCGAGCAGGAAATGTTCCAATGCCCAGATAATGACTGCGGCACTTGGAACCACGAAGCTTGTCTGATCGACAACATGGAGCGGAGGGCATGGGAGCGGTTCAAGAAGGGGACCCTGACCCATGAAGTGCCAGAGACGGAACAAAATGAAACTTCGTCGCACATACCGTTGAACCCAACCAAACATGTGGCCACTCCCAAGTCGAAAAAGACTACAGCGTCCCGTAACAAGAAGAAACCATGGGCAGGCAAATTGGAGGGTAAGATATCCCGTGGCCGGAAGGTCGCAGATGACAACTACATCCACATTGCAACCATCCGGCAGTTGGTGCCTCAAAGCAAGCACGAGAAGGATGATTCCTTTAAACCGGTCACGTGGAACATGGAGTTCAATTGCCTGAAATGCCACCGGGCATTGAATTCATTGGAGTGAAAGGTGGTACGCCACGCTCAGCATATGAGTATGCGTAATATGGATATCGTTGAAGGGTCACTAGCACTTCCGCAGTTTCTCCTGTCGGTTGATTCAATCGGTTCCATATGAGCATTGATGGCACGAACTCTGGGTCAGAATGGAAAACAGGCCATTGCATTCGCACAGTTCGGGCTCTTGGACCTGAATATCTTCATGTTGTCGTTCCAAAAAGGGGAAAAGGGAAAAGTATTCGCACAGGAAAGTTAGATGGTCACGTGGCAGGGCTGTCTTGGTGTCGGAGGAGTACCGAGTACATTGTACCGAGTAGCACTTATTAATTGCTCCTGTAATGGTTAACAATCGTTCATGTTGGTGGTATTCACTATTGCCTTCTACCGAGCACTCAGAGGACTGCGGTGATCACATGGACATCACATGATGAGTCACATGACACGGTTCGGCACCACAACGAGCCGAACTGGCATTTCCCCTGCGCTCCATGCGCGCCCTCTGAGCCCTGACCTACTTTTTCCACATGTTGTCTGTATTCGGAACTTGTACGAGTACGACGGCGATTGTGCGAAGGCCAGTAAACGCAGACAATACCTCTCCCCTTCTCCACATTCTTTGAGAAAATTTGGATTCGGCCCTGCCTGTGATTCGAGGGTCAGAGGCACCAGCGGGTACATGAACCAACATCCTTGTAGCCTCCGCATTTCTCTTTGCTAACAGTTGACGGAACAACAGCCTCCCACGCCTCTCAGACGAGTATCCGACTACGAGGTACTCGAGCTATCGTCACGACTCTGCTGCTCTCGTCATCGATTCGCTCTTGCCCCAATTGACCTTCCATTGCCCCCCCCAGATCTCGCAATCGGCTCGGCATTGCCATTCGGGCCCGTGTGTCCTTATTCAAAGTCCCAAGGCCCGGCCCTTTGGACGGTTTTCCATCATGGCGCATTTGTCACCACCATTGCCTGCATTCTTTGATTGCCAACATAGATATTCCATCATCGCCCCGACTGCCTGGCCAACATGCCCAAGAGCTAGTCGCTCGAGACTCCTGGTATTGGTTGTCTGCTTGACCAGACCCTCTCTTCTTCCCCGGTAGCTCGGACTTAAGGGTTCTGGCCCTCAAGCGCAAACCGCATACTAGGATACAACATACACATATTGACTCTACACGCCGCTGCCGCTACTCCTACATTGGCATATGTTCACGGGTCGACAAGTTCACAGTTATCATTCTTTCTTGCCATTGGAAAGCCTTGGGTCTCGTTCCTGATATTATTATCTTACATGCAACATGACACTCGATCCCGAAAAGAATGTCGAGCCAGCGGCCGAATACCTCGAGCCAGAAGGTACTTCTCCGAGAGGCGCAATTCAATCTCCACAGACAGTCGCTGCGCAGGATGAGATGCCTTCGCCTGCATCGTCCAGCAACCCGGCTTCAGAAAAGTTTCTCGACCAGGCAAACGATACAGTCGCAGAGACGCCGCGAGACAATGGGTTACCCGATCAAGTGCAACCTCTGGAAAATCCCCTTGAGAAAACAAAATCCAGAGCCTCCGAGTTCTCCAGAAGCCGGACCGTCATTATCATGTTCTCCCTGTGCATGGCCCTTTTCTTGGCCGCGCTGGACGTGACCATCATCACCACAGCTTTACCCACTATTGCCCAACATTTTCAGGCCTCGGCATCGGATTATACCTGGGTTGGAAGTGCGTATCTACTCGCAAACGCCGCCAGTGTTCCGCTATGGGGCAAACTCTCCGACATCTGGGGTCGCAAGCCCATCATTATGTTGGCAAACGGAATCTTCATGGCCGGAAGTCTGATCGCCGCCCTGTGCAATTCGATTGGCCTCCTTATTGGTGGACGGGTGATCCAGGGCATTGGTGGTGGTGGTCTCGTAACGCTTGTCTATATCTGCATAGGCGATCTGTTCAGCATGAGAGAAAGACCCAAGTACTTTGGTATTTTGGGCATGGTATGGGCCATCGCTTCCGGGGTTGGCCCTGTTGTCGGGGGCGCTTTCACCGAAGGGGTCTCCTGGAGATGGTGCTTCTACATCAACTTGCCTCTGGATGGTCTTTCTTTGATTCTACTCACGTTCTTCCTCAAGCTGGACACCCCCAAGACGCCCTTTATGGCCGGAGTCAAAGCCATTGATTGGATTGGTGTCGTCACAATTGTCGGCGGAGTGGTCATGTTCCTGTTTGGCATGACCTCGGGAGGCACAACCAAGCCTTGGGACAGTGCCTACACATTATGCCTCATCATTTTTGGCATCGTGGCTATTGTTCTGTTCTTCCTGAACGAGTGGAAGCTGGCCAAATACCCCGTCATCCCTCTTCGGCTCTTCAAGAACTACTCCAACCTCGCAGCCTTGGGGGTCTGCTTCATCCACGGTTTCGTCTTCATTGCTGGGAGCTACTATCTCCCGTTTTACTTTCAGACCGTGCTTGGCGCCAGCCCTCTCCTCTCCGGAGTATATCTTCTCACAATGGTCCTCACGTTGTCCTTTGTTTCGACGGCAACGGGCCTCTATGTCAAAAAGACAGGCCGATTTCGCGATCCCATCTGGCTTGGGCTCTGCGTAATGACTCTCGGATACGGATTGTTTATCGACTTGCCTGCGAGCCCAGATTGGGCCAAGATCATTATATACCAGATCATTGCAGGTATCGGGGTGGGCCCGAATTTCCAATCCCCCTTGATTGCATTGCAAGCTCACATCAAGGGTCACGACATGGCTGTGGCAACAGCGACCTTTGGGTTCATCCGCAACCTGTCCACTTCCATCTCGGTCGTATTGGGAGGTGTAGTCTTCACCAATGAACTCTCCAAGAAGTACGGTGGCCTCGTCCCTGTCCTAGGACCAGAGCGTGCGAGGCTACTGACTTCCTCCTCGTTTGGTGCCACAACCTCCATCGTGCGCAGCCTTCATGGCCCGGCTCGCCACGCCGTTGACAAAGCATACACTGACTCGTTGAGGACGATGTGGATCTTCTACACGTGTTTCGCGGCGTTTGGGATCGTGGTGAGCCTTTTCATCAAGAAGAAGGAGCTCAGCAGCACGCACGAGAAGGCGAGAACGGGCATTGAGGAACAAGAGAGGGTGAGACAGGAGCTGTTGCGGGAGAGGCAAGAGAAGCAGAGGAGTAGGAGGGGCACTTTGGAAAAGGACGTCGAAAAAGCGAGCCCAGTGCCCGCCAGCACATCGCGAGAACATGATGGATAAACAACCGCACAAAAAGAATCGATTGGGAAAGAGGCCATTAACATTGGGACATGAGACAGACAGTGGAAGGGAAAAAACCACGGCCAGCTCCTTTTTTTGCTTGTTTAATGTTTGGGGCCTTTGGGAACTTTAGACAGACGTTATTGAGCGGGCGGCGTTGCCTTTTTGAGCGGATTGGATACCTGCATACCTGCATACTTGCCTCACATACATACATACATACATTCATTACATACACAGCTACCTATGTACCTACCTGCCTGCCCATCTGAGTCCATGCACGCTGGGTACCTATGTGGTGTTACTTGTCGTGGTTGTTAGTGTTGTCTATGACTATGACTATGACCATGATCATGACTATATAGCCCGACTGCATTGTCTGTCCGTGGCAAAAAGGGACAGAGACAACTTGGTTGACCACTTCTTCACGACCCGACTTTTGGACTCTTTTTTTTTCTTCCTTGCCTTGGTTTGATGTTCTCGGATGACCAGGAACGGGGAGCAAGCAAAGCTCTGCTCTGAAAGACAGACAGAGACAAAGACATTAGCTGATGGGGCTCCGCCCTCACCCTCATATTCTCTGTCTTTGTCTCTAACTCTGTGTTGTGTCCGTGTCTGTGATCGTGTCTCTATCTGTGTATTTTGACTGCCGAGAACCAATCCAGTACCTCGGACTCGAAGCTGGAGAGCTCCCCCTTCTCCTCCCTATGAGATCAGATTGTCAAGAGAACAGAAGTGATTTCGATTTTGTTTTGATCCTGGGAGGAATTCCTGGTTGCTCGCTCAAGTCGTGTCCATTTGCGTGCCCCAGTCGCTGGTCTCTGGTCCCTGAGCCAAGGGAAGACAAAACGTGCTATGCACAAGATGGTAGCGGACGGGTCATCGGATTGAATAGTGTTCAAGTGCTGCTTGAGGTTTGTTGGCAATGACCGGCCTTCTTAACGCGTCGATGACTCTAACTGAAGAGCTCATTCAACCGCTTAGTCTCGTTGGCCATGTCCACTGGTTTATTGATCCAGTCGAGGGCCTTGGTGCATCTGTGTTACCCGATGGAAGATGGTGGAGGAGTGGCCTAACCCGCATGCTGGACCAGCTGATTGATGCCGACAGCATTGATGCCACTGTCGAACAGTGGAGGCATTCGTCGGCAAACAGCCACGACATCGTATAGTGATCACTGACGCTCGATGGGTTGACCACAGCAGCAGCTGGTCCCCCCATTCACCTTCTGTCTCGTTTGCTTCTCCATCTTCCTGCCTTTCCACCTCTGCCGCCCTTCCAGCCGTAGTCTTTGCGAGAATCTTCTTCTCTCTTGTCCATTTCCGCGGCTCTTTCTCTTCTTTGTGCATCTGCGTCCTTCTCTGCTGCAGCGGCAGCCGCCGCCGCAGGACCGCTTTTCAGATGGACCCCAAATTTGCACTCTTTCCCGTCCGGACAGAATCCCGCCAGATAGAATTCGCACAGCTTTCTCCTCACGTGTCGGTTTGGACATCTAGGGCCCTTCTCGCAGAAACCCTTGTTGTAGTCTTCACACATGGGCAGCTTGGAACCCTCCTTGACGTGTACGTAGAGACACTCGTCGCCGTTCTGACAATACCCGTTTTGATTGTAAAACTGGCATTCGCTCATTTTTCGCAAATTATACTCGTGGAGGTAGTCGCAAGCGTCGCCCTTCTTGCAAAGACCCTTGAGCCAGTGTTTACAGACATAGTTATCATTGGCGTGGCGACCGTAGTGATGCTGCTGGGAGTGAGGTGCCTGCGCCTGTGTGGGGGTGGGATGACGGTCGGGACAGCGACGTCCGCGGGGACAGTGGCCTGTACTGGCGAAGTCAGGACAGACGGGCACGGTAGATGCGAGAGCGGCGAGACCGTTACTGCGGAGAAAGGGTGTAAAGCTGAAATTGTACGTCGGTTGCGCCGAAGGAGGATTCTTGGGCAGGGTCGCGTCTTGCACGGTTGGTGTCGATGAGGCCACGGACGCCATGGCTGGTTGCTGAGAAGGTTCACTCGAGGAGGGACTGCAGTGGGAGGCGATGGACCTCCTTGGCCGTCAAGCTCAAGGCACAAGGAATCAAGTTGATGGTGGGTAAGGTGCTTGTAGCTTCTGAATAATACAAGTGCCTGATGACAGTGGTATCTTCTGGTATGTCTCGTGCGTAGTTCCGAAGTATTACCGAGATGTGCTCGCCGTGTCACCAGTCACTTGTCTCCCCAGTACAAAGATGTAAATGGCCGGGACTGAGAACTCGAAAAGGTAATTGTCGTCGAGGGGAAAATGTATCCCGATCCATTCACTCTTCCTCCCACTGCCGATAGACTGACTTGACTGATTGGGACACGTTCACATCGGCCCCTCTTCCACACCTCTTCCGCAATCCACCTGATTCCTCCCTGTTCCTCGACGGTGCCTCTTCCGGGTGAGATTGCAGACTCCCGGGTTGTCCCCCTTTTGACCTACGAGTACCTTGTACCTCTTACTGCTCGCTGTTTATCCCCTGACAGATCGGCTCCTCGCTCTTCTGTTCCGCATCTGCCACCTGCGGGGCACTTTTTTGCCTATTCTCCAATGCCTCTCTCTTCCCCTCCTTGCGGTGGCCCCCCCACGTCATTTTCTCGTAGGGAAAACATGCTCTACAAAAACATTTCTCTACGTCCATTGTCGTGTTCTCACTCTTCCCAAAAGTAAAAGTTCTGGTATCACCGCGTTGTAGCATCATGTCGGTCACCACTCAAGCCACAATTGCCAGCTTCGGTGGGAAGCTCCTCAAGCTCGCTCACAATGCCTCCACCACTGGCTGCGAAATGAAGTTCAACCTTTACCTTCCTCCTCAAGCCGCAAACAACAAAGTTCCTCTGCTCATATGGCTCTCTGGGCTCACATGTACCGGCGACAACTGCTCTGAAAAGGGTTTCTTCCAACACGGCGCCAGCAAGAAGGGTATCGCTGTGTTGTATCCTGACACCAGCCCAAGTAGGTCACACACTGGGACTTTGCCGATCAACGCATGGACTGACGGGATGCAGGGGGGATTGGTATCCAAGGCGAGGACGACGCCTACGATTTCGGCACTGGGGCAGGCTTCTACGTCGATGCCAGTGCAGACCCATGGTCCAAGAACTACAAGATGTACTCGTACATCACCAACGAACTCCCCAAAACCGTTTTCGAGGCGTTCAAAGACCAGATCGACTCCAGCAAAGTTAGTATCAGTGGACACAGTATGGGAGGCCATGGTGCTCTATCTCTATACCTGAAGAACCCGGGCAAATACAAGAGTGTCAGCGCCTTTGCCCCGATTGCCAATCCCTTGAAATGTCCCTGGGGCGAGAAGGCGTTCAAAGGGTATTTTGGTGACGACTGGCAAAAACTGGGAGCCCAACATGATTCGACAGAGTTACTGAAGCAGTGGAAAGGGGGACCTCTGGACATTTTGATCGATGTGGTATGTCGCTATGCTCGAGTGTGTTTGTCCACTGCTGACCGCCATAGGGAACTGGTGACAATTTCTATAAGCAGGGCCAGCTTCTTCCCGAAAACTTCATCGCAGCCGCAAAGGAAATTGGACAAGAGAACGGAGTCAAAGTCAGGTTTCAGCCAGACTATGACCACAGTTACTACACAATGGCCACTTTCTCGGATGATCACATTGACCATGCCGCGAAGTACTTGTTTGCTTAGTATGTTGATTGATTCACAAACACAATAGAGGCTGACAGGGATAGAAGCGGAATGAAAAAGAATCAGAAGCTTTGATTATGCCAGCTATTCACTGTGAAGTCTAATTCCGTATTCAATCTTTTCCTGTGGTGCTTCACACCTTGCCGTGCCATCTGCTTTCCTCTCTACCATCTCTATTAAAACCGCCACATCTTCATCTCTCTCTCTCTGGCTTCCTTCTCCCAACTTTCAAATTGATCAGATTGCTGCCCCGACTTTCCCAAACACCCGGTCCACCAAAAGTGAAGCAGTACAAGAACAGTGTTCATCCTCTCCCCTGCCATTACGCTTGATTATCTCTGCTCTTTAGAGCCTCACACGACTCTCTTGCCATCCATTTCATATCTGCTCGCCCCGTCACGGCCGCCGAAATGGACCTGGACTTCAGCTACCTCGGTGCGACAGACGGGGTGTGTTCGGCCTTTGACAAAAACGACAACTTTTGGCAAGAGAAGACCGCGTTCGAATCGAAGCCCAACATCAAACTGTCCCAGTCGTTGGACCACGGTGGCCACCCGACCTCCTGTCCTCCTCAAGTATGTGCTCCTCCCCCCCCTTTTATCATTGTCACGTGACGAGGCTGAACTGTGACTGACGGATGGGGTGGTACGTTGTAGACCCAGTCAGCGACTAAGCCGCGATCAGAATGCCCAGGTCAAAAGAAACAGGCTACATGAAGAAAGAGTCGTCAGTTTCAACTGTGTCAATGTGAACAGTCCTTGGTGGCACCGTTGTCTTGGAACAGGTCAGATGACGTCGGAGGACGACAAATTCAATGAGGCGAGAAAACTGCAGAATGCCTTTGCCTTTGTGACCTTTCATCTGCCGGTGCATAAACACATGAGCTGGAGACTTTCACTCCCATACGCAATGTCAGAGATGAGGGTTCTCACTTGGGGAAGGAGGTGGACTGTATGTGTCACCTCTCAGCTCGGATCAGATGGGATAGATAGACCACTCTTCGAAGACCTAGAGGTCAGGCAGACGCTGTTACAGGCCACGATTTCAAAGTATTCTCAGCTGATCGCACGAGGCGCCCCACTCACAACAACGGACAGAAGACGCCCGATCTCCTCAAGTGCCTGAACTGTCGAGTATTATCCATGCATGCACATCAGCAGCAGCAGCAGCAGCAGCAGCAGTAACCGGGAAGGTGGGGGAGGCAGTCGAAAAGAAACACATCATCACCGCGCTTAGTAGAGATAGCCTGGGGTTATTTTTTGAAGGCTTCTTTTCGATGTGGTGTATGTTTCATGTTCTGTACCCGTCTTAAGTATTTATCTATTCCTGAAAGACGCGTCTGTCTATAATGTTACCCCGTCTAATTGTAGACACATCACACATGGAACCTTTTACCTGTTCGCCAAACCGCTCGACCAGGTAAAGGGAAAGGAGCTCCAAAATCTCGAAGAATAGATTCCCAAAACGCCCTTGGCCATTCAGATTGATTTTGCATGGGTTGGTGGAGTGATCATAAACAGTCTTCATGTATCGACCCGGCCATCCGTCCATCCCCTCTTTTAGTTGTCTTCTGTATACGTCGACCGCCCCCTCCACTTCGCACCGTAGCGGAAGATGAGAACGGGGATCGGCGCGGTGGCGAGACTCAGCGCGCACAAGACGGTGAAGCCCCGGCCATACCCCACGGCCTTGACCAGGGGCTCGACGGCGAGGGGGAGAAAGGTGCCCATCAGGCACCGCGTGACGATGAGCGCGGTCATGGCGCTGGCAGAGTATAGCTTGAAGGCGTCGACCACGTAGGCCATCAGCGGGATGAAGCCGAGCATCAGCGCGGCCCCAAGCAGGACGAGGACGAGGATCAAGACCGGGAGCGGCAGGCGGAGGTCGGCCGTCCATCCGTACAGCGCGACCATGAGGGGAAGCGTAAAACCGCCGACGATGGCCAGCGGGAGCCGGTACTCGGGCTGTCCCCCGACCGGCGAGCCTTTGTGGGTATCGCGCAGCCGGATGTAGATTCTGTCGAGGAAAAGGTTGCAAATGACGACGCTTACCAAGGAACCGACACCTAAAGGCATTGTTAGCAACTAGAAGGTAGCAGGAGAATTCCCCCAAAGCAAGAAAACATCAAAGTTTAGATTTGGGAAGAAAGGGAGAGGGGGAATTAGGGAACGTACTGAAGCTGATGAACGTCGACCCCGTCAGGGCGGGTGAGAGGCCGTAGATCCCCTCCAGGATGTCGGGCAGCGTCGTCGACATGACGTAGAAGTAGGTATACACCATCGATCCGAAGACGGACATAGCCTGCAGGACGCCCGAGTCGAAGAAGACGACAAAGGGTCGCAGGATCGAGTCCCACAGCTTCGTGGATCCCTTCACGTTCGCCTCGGCGTCGTCCACGTCGACCGCTGTGCGCAGCGCGAGATTACCCGTCTCCTTCCTCAACCGGGCCACTCGGCGATTGAGGATGGCCACTTTGTACGTTTCGCGGAAACAGGTGAGGAAAGTCACCTCACACGCGGTGGCCAAGATCACGCCCACCCAGAGGACCTGACGCCAGCCCAAGGTCTCGGCGATGGCACCCGCGATGGCAGGACCGATGGCGCCTCCCAACAGGGGTGCCATCATGACGAGGCTCATGGCCGACCCGCGCTGTTCCGAGACGAACATGTCGCCGACAATGGCTGGGTTGAGCACATTCGAAGCGACCGCCACGCCCGTCAAGGCCCGTGCAGCGATGAAGAGCGGCGTGCTTTGGCACAATGCCGCCAGCACCGTGGCGGAGATGAACAGCACGTTGGCGACATTGAAGACTGGGTATCTCCCAAACGACTCCGACAGCGGTGCGAGCACGAGGGGGCCGAACGCCTCGCCAAGTTCCCATATCGTGACTAGCAGGACGCTGGCGGACTTGCTACTTGTGCCATTGAGATCGTGTACAATCCGGTTTGCAACGGGCACGACCGAGATGCAGGTGAAAGTCCTACCAACAAAGTCAGCCCATCTGGCAGGCTTTAAGTAGTTGAACAAGCACTGACACTGTAAATGCCATGAAGGCCAACAAAGCCACAATCCCCCATTTGTAGTGATTCGGCCAATCTCTGGGGTTTTCCGGGTCGCCGTTGGGGTCGAAATCGATGATGTCTGTTGGCTGAACGGTTTTGTCCGGGCGGTGCTCGGGGTGAACCGCATTTCGAAGCAATGGTTGGGTTTCGTCCATTGTCCTTGTATGAAATGTTGGTCGAGCAAATGGTGGTTCGCGGGATCTTAGTCTAGAGGATTGTGGGGGACTATATATGTAGCTTGTGCATGTAGATAAATAATGCTAAGGGTGCTAAGGTACAATTTTTCTTTCTCTTTCGTATAAAACCCGCAGGGCGGTGGCGGCAACAGAGTTGGAGGGGCAATATTAATCAATCAGCAGAAGTTTATGTAAGGTTGATCCCTCGGCACCAGATGGCGCCAACGGGGTAGCATGGGGCGTATTTTAGATTGAGAGCCTTCTATCATGTACGCGACCTGTCAAATATTTCATCCACCCAAGTCGAGAAGGGTCCATGAAGGCGAAAGGGCGTGAATTTGGCTTAGTAGGGTAAGAGTGGCATGCCCGTCGATAACCGAGGAATAATGGTCGATAAAGAAACATGAACCAATGAGTTGGGTTGGCCTCTGGTTGATTAAAAGCAGCCCCAGCTCACAGAATTGAGCCATGTCAATCTTTGAATGTCCACCCATTCCTGTTGGATTGGGGGACCCCAGCCTGGTGGCCAATGCGATATTGTATCATTACTCAAGTATAGTAGATGTACGGGGAAATGTCTTTGCTTGTAAAGGAGTGATCTCTCGGCCAATTGACAACTCAACAGATCTCCATCTCTTCCCTCGACCTACTCGTTCGGCCACGTCCCAAGGGTTTGGACTTGTAGGATCTGGCTTCGTGGGGGGTTTTATCTGGGAGCCGTACGGACAAAGTGTCAAGACCAATGGACCGCCTTCATCTGGTAGTATCAAGGACAGCCTGAGTCTCTGGCAGCCATTGTAAAGGGTTTTGGGTCAACGAGAGGATAATCTCAAGACGTGCTTCGATCTTGACAAAGAGTGGCTGTCGGAGCCTCATCGTCTAGGGAACGGAATATTGTCTCATTGATCTTAGTCAGGGGGAAGAAAATAGAAGGATTTGAATATGTGCGTCGAGGTACGTCAAGGTGCGTCATTTGGCGGTTGGTGGCCGAGGGTCCCAGGTGCAGGCGGTGCAGGTGGTGCAGGTGGTTTGATGCCAAGGCCGGAAACATTTGGAGGGAGATTTCTCCGCCTCGAAAGATGCGGAATGAGGCACCAGTCGAATAATGGTGCCCGACGTTGGAACATTCTCTGCATTCTCTACTTTGCAGTAACCGAAATTCCAGAGACATCCACTACACCATCTGTTGATTTCGATTCATGCCTGCACCCATTCTTCACTGTCAATTCCTCAACAACGCTGGCTTTTCTCATGGACTAACTCTGGAAGCACGTGCTTCCACTTTCGTCACGCCCAAATGCGGTGACTATCTTCCTTGCCCAGTGTTCCTGAAGTCATAGCGCGGTGGGCGAGGAACACTGGTATTACGTGATGGACGAACAGGTTGGTCGTCTCTCACTAATCTCAGTGCTGTCGCTAACTGGTCCTCGAGATAATCTCGGCGATTCAAATCGCCTACGACCCCTCCGCGAACCCAGCCCTCAAACGACAGGCCTTTGACTATGTCAACCAGCTGAGACAAGAACCCTCAGCATGGCAGCCATGTCTGGCCATCTCCTTACAAGTCCCCCGACAGCCCATGGTCATTCGAGTCTACTGCCTCGAGATCGTCAATAATGCAGTTCAAGGTGGCCTGGTGGACCAACAAGGCCTGAAAACCATTGAAGATCAGCTCATGACATATCTGCGGAAGTTCTACGGGGAACCAGGCCAGACAGACACACCAGACCCTGGCACCATCGTCAACAAGTTTGCTCAGACCGTGACATTCCTATTCTCAACCTTTTACGGCGCCGGGTGGGAGACTTGCTTCGATGACTTATTGGCCCTTACTTCAACAGGTTCCGGCCCAAAAGACAATTACCCAGGTCTCATTTTCTATCTAACAGTCCTCAATGCCATTCACGATGAGATCGGAGATCAATTACTTTCCAGGTCTCGAGCCGAACAGGACAGGGCAAATACTTTAAAAGATTTGATTCGAGCTCGTGATGTTCAAAAAATCGCTCGGTCGTGGGAGGAGATCTTGTCCCACTGGGGAACGTCCAACGACGTTGTGGCCGAGTTGTGCTTGAAGGCAATTGGGAAGTGGGTTAGCTGGGTCGACATCTCCTTTGTGGTGAACCAGTCGATGCTCGAACTGCTATTCCAGCAGCTGGAACGCGCCCAAAAAGTCGATCCTCGCAAGAGTGAGGAGCAAGCACGAGACGCCGCCATCGATGTCTTCACTGAGACCGTGGCAAAGAAGATGCCGTCCGCGGACAAAGTCAACATGATCACCTTTCTCAACCTTGAAACAGTCGTCTCGCAACTCGTCACTTGTCCGCCGCTGAGGGATAGCAGAGCCTCCAACTATGATGTTGATCTTGCTGAAACGGTTGCAAAACTGGTCAACACCACAACAGTGGATATTGTCAAAGTGTTGGAGACGGAGACCCAGGGCTCGCCGACATGGGTCAAGGCTGAACAGCTCCTGGTCGCCTTTCTGCCACACTTGCTTAGATTCTTCTCCGACATATTCGACGAAGTCTGTTCAACGGTCCTCAATGCTATGAATGACGTTCTTACTTTTTTGAGGCGCACGAGCCAGGGGGAGAACGCCTCAGCCCAAAGGGCACAAATGCTCCTACCCATCCTCAAGGGAATCTTCCTCAAGATGAGGTATGATGACACTGCCGACTGGGGTCAGGAGGACGAGCAGACAGATGAAGCAGAGTTTCAGGAGTTGAGAAAACGATTGGCGGGCTTGCAATCAGCCATCGCCGCAGCGGATGAGCAGCTCTATATCGACGCAATTTCAGCCCTTGTTCACGATACCTTTGAACGGCTGCGGTCAGAAGGATCAGGGCTCAATTGGCGCGACCTGGATCTTGCACTACATGAAGTGTATCTCATTGGGGATCTGGCTGTAAGGGGAGGTGGTTTGTATCAGAAGAACAAGCCAAA